AGTCAATTAGGTAAGGGTTTTGGCGAAAAAAACAAATATATTTTATAGAAAATGAAATGATTTTATTGACCGTCAAACATTGCCACGAGCAGAGCTAACTAGTCAATTTAAGCTCAGCTCGTTGACCAATGGGCAAGCCTAGCTCGGTTAATGGGCTCGATAGAGCTTGGGTAGTTGTGGATTGAAACAACTTGACTCGGGGCACTGCTGCCGACTAGCTCGGCATTCTATGCTGGAATTTATAAAAAAATAAAAATAAAAATAAACTTGAATGAGATGAGTGTGTCACAAAGTCAACAACGTTGGGGATGATTGCAGCAATTTTCCATTTTCTATTTCTCACTTCTGCGACACCACTTTCAGTTGCCGACACCGACTGTCCGAAACTCCGAGATAAGATATACACAATCTCGCATAAATATATATAGCCACAAACTCGATATAGAGACAGAGCGAGAGTCATATGGAAATGGATAAAGCCTCTGACGCTAACTCTACTGTGAACACCACAGGCGGCGGCGGAGGAAGCGGTGAGGCTGGCAGGGATGTGCGCCTCAACCATGTGACCAAAATCTCACATAAGATCTCCAAACCCATTAGAAAGCATCTTCCTCCAACTCCTCCTAATATCCCTATTTTTGAGAATATCAATCAAAATCCCCAATCAGAGCCGCCGCAGAACAATCTGCAGCAGCCGCCTGTCTACAATATTAACAAGAATGACTTCCGCAACGTTGTTCAGAAGCTCACTGGCTCTCCGTCCCACGAGCGTCCCCCACCGGTAAGCCACCCGAGGCCGCCGAGCTCCAGGCTTCAGAGGATCCGCCCCCCGCCCTTGGCTCAGATTAGCAACCACCCGCCACCTCTGGCGCAGGGCCCGACTTACGGCGTTGACCTGGCCCAAAAGGATGTGTTAGACGGATGTCAACGAGCTTTACAGCCGTTCTCCCCGCTTCCGCCGCTTCCGGCTGTGCTCGCGGCGGCGGAGTCCCCAATCTCTGCACACATGCGGTTCTTCCAGAGCTCAATCTCATCTTTTGCTGGTGCTTTGCCACGGTGGAACAGCGTCGCACAGCCGCAGCAGCAGCAGCCACCACCGGCGTCATCTTCTACTGCCTCACCACTATCATTTCCAACTCTTCCGCTGTCTCCGCTGCCTTTTGGATGTATGCCATCACCGAGATCTCCATACGCTGCGCCATCGCCGAGCTTATTTTTGCCGACTGGCCAATTGGGGTTTCCACAGCTTCCTTTATCGCCAACACTGCCTGTTCCAAGCCCAAGGTGGAACAATATGTAAGGAATTTCGCCACTTATGAAAGGTAAGTTTCATAAGTATTTTATTTTTTATTTTTTACTTAGCATTTTCAATGGGAAAACTGTAATTTGCACATGTACATGATTTGGGGAGAATATAGGGAACAATGACTAGTGTATTACATAGTGGAAAAGAAATGAAGATCGCACTGGTTGATCAGTGTTTTGCTCTGTAAATGAATGGTAGTGACTGGAAAGGGAAACTATAAATTGCATCTGTACTAGTTTATTAAACTAAAAATTGCATCTGTATTAGTTTATTTATCTTTTGATTCATGATTTTTTTCCTTACATAATGGGATGTTTCACCTTTAGTAGTTTTTTCAGTATTTTCGGAACAGTCATTTATGATATCTGATTTTATTTCATTATGGATCGTATTATTTTGGATTGATTTAATTCATGTTTATCCATGGGTTGAAGTTTTCATTTAAAGATGTAGTTGATTCATATGATAAGGTGAACTTTAAAATCATATTTCGTAAATATATGGTGGATAATTGCTGTGTATGTGCGAAATAATTTGGTTTAGTCATTGATTGTGTGTTGAAAATGGAACTTTTAGAAGGTATGTTTATTCTTCTTTCCCAAATGATGGATAACCTAGTTCTATTTGGCTGATTTTATGGGCTACATCTTTGATAAGAAACGATAAGAGCGTTGTGGAACTTTAAAGGTGAACCAGAGAATCTGGAAAGAGAAATCTTGGTAGAAATTTCCGCTATCGGAATAACTGCTCAAGGACATAATTATAGATGGGATTCATCACATTTGAATGTCAAAATTTAACCTGAACGAAAGTTTCCAAACTAAGAGAATGAGAAAAATCCAAACCTAAAGATTATTATAAACATAACTAGAAAATACATTCATTTCTACTTTCTAAATTTACCCTAAAAACAAACGTTTTCTTGTAGAATGCATCTAGGAAGAGATCCACCATTAGGAATGCAATCTTCATTAATAGGGTATCAGTGTTAACCACTAGATGACTAAGTGTCATAATGAGCTGCCAAAGCATCTGTTGACATAATTTGGATTTTAGTTAGTAGGAGGAGCACAAAAAATGGGAATATTAGATTGTCTTACTGAAATAGACGAAGGCAACATTTGAGGAGTAAAATGTGCCCGAGTAAAAAATATAAATCTGCCTCATTCAAGACGAAGGTTTCTTGCAAATCAAGCACCCAAGAAAGTCTATTTGAGTTCAATTATTTTCTTGGTGATGATATATATATATATGCGATGGTATAGTGCAGATTACAACAAGAAAGAATTATTAGACATTGTTGATTGCTTTTAACCTATTTCAAATAGTAACTTTCGTTGATGTATGTATTGTATGGTGTGAATGGAGAGAAAGGAACAACCGCTATTTTGAAGACCAGATAAGAACAACAGAGCAGATTAGATAATTGTTTATATGACTTTGTATACTTGGTTTAATGTTGTGGCCACTAATCATATAGAAAGGCTGCCTAACTTCACGTCGTTTGTATCTTGTTTAAATTGATAATATACCGCCTATGTATTATCATTTGATTAATAAAATTACTTGATCACTTATGAAAAAAAATATTTTTCAAAGTTAACAAGTTTGTAATAGAATAAAAAGGGCAAGAATTGACCAATTCGTATAATTTTTTGAGAAGCTGCACATTTAGACTGCAAGTACATGTTTTTAGTAAGAGGAAATTCACATAGAGACTGAAAAAACAATGAATGCAAAGGCTATGACAGAATTGGAACATGATGACTCCTGAAATTTCTACTGGCCGTTGTCCTGTGAAAAGTCTCTGGTGAGCCTCACAAGTTAGAGAAGGTTATGGACAATAGAACAGGTCATAATGACTTGGCAGGAAGACTAGAGGTGCACTTATGTAGTACCGATGCAAAATGGGAGGCAATCTTTAGCTCTTCACTGGTGTTTTGTAGATTGGTTCCATGTAAGTCAAGGTGTGCCAGTGGTCATTCAAGACATAACAGTAAGTTTCAGTACAACGACCATTGTGTGGTGGCATGTGTGTTGTTTCTGGTGACTGTTGGAGGTTGGTAATGAGTGGATAGTGTAGGGTTATAAAATTTGTGGGGCTGGATATTCAGATCTGAGGAGGCACGTGATTACAAGCGCAATTCTTTGTCTCGTACATGACTTTCTCGTTAATGAGTGGCATCAGTGGGTTGAGTGACGGCTTGATATCATTAGTGGCTGACAGTTCAAATTTGATTGATGGATGAATCTCACAGAGATGTGGCTTGGCTGGCAAAATTGGAGTGGAATGAAATATTGTTTGTTGAGTGGTTATCAATTTGCTCTTCTTCTCAGTATCCCTGCCTATTTATTTATTTATTTTGAAAGGGGTAGTAGGAATATATTGTAGAAGGAAGCAAAAGACAACATGTGTCTGGGGAAGCAACCAAGAAAAATAGGGGGCAGATACAACAATGATTTTGCTCTGTAGGAACTTTATTTTTATTTTTATTTTTTAATTAGTTTTTGAGAAGAATTTGTTATGAAGGAAGGATAGACTCGTTAACACAAATTGATGTAGAACGGTAGAAGAGAAAGATCAAATGAATTACTGTACAAGATTAGTCCATTTATGTGTAAACATTCCTATCTGGAATGGAAGTTTCAAAATAGAAAAATGGGTAAATTTCATTACTTTAGAACTATAATTTTTTCAAGGAAATAAGTCAACATTTTTAAAAATTAATGCATACAATGAGTGTATTATTGAGATTTCGAGAAAAAAGGTGTACTTTTGGAATGAAACTCAACCATTAGGTTGTTTACAAAAGCTCTATTGCTATTTCGCGCGGCAATCCACATCGATGTAATGAATGTGAAGAACCCATGACAATGATGGAAAGACTTGAATTTGAATTGTTTGTTGAAATGGACAAACCCAACCTTGGACACATAAGAGTTCCGAATCGAACATCTTCGTCAATGAGCTACTACAAGAGGCATCAGCATTTTGTAACAGTCTGAATTAAAATTATCAGGTGGAGATGACTTCCTTTTTGAGATCTTCCACTGTTGGAAAATCTGGCTAATCTAGTGCAAATCTGAGCTTGACTGTGAAAACTGCAGAGTTTCTTATAATAGTTATTTGGAGGTAAGATTTTTTTGGGCTGTAATTTCTTTGTAAATTTTGATGGACGATTTTTACTCTGGCCAAGTTTGTATTTGAGATTTACATGGATATGTTCAAGACGAAATGATCTTCTATCATACTAGTGTAGGAAGATAATTTGAGGAATTGGTGTATTTTGGAGAATATGTGCATGATAGCAACTCAGTTGATACGCATATTTGAGTCAATGTTCTCTCTTTCTTGTTAGGCTTAGTTTTCTACTATAAGCATTTCTTTGTTCCTCAGATTCTTTCAGAAGCTGTCTTTGAGGATCAGAAAATTTCATCCTTGGCTATTGTTTTGTCCGTCCTTGTAAATCTTTTTGCTGTGTGTAGTAGAATTTGCATCTTATTATATCTCAAAGAAAAGCTACCTTGTGATGAGATGAGATGGATGTGATTTCGGAGGCTTTATTGTAGATGAAACGTGTTTTTTTCAAGTTATGAACCCCTCCTATCCCTCTGTTTTTATACGTCCACCAGTTGGAAGCTCTTGATAAATATCTTCTTGGATAATTGCTTGATTTTTTTAGTTCTTACTGACGAGTGTGCTTGTACATGCAAAGTGAGTGAGATAGCACCGTTATACCAAATATGTAGCACAACACCAATTCATACTTTTATTTGTAGACAAGGTGGTCAGCCAAAAAGGAGAGAGTAGAATAGGGCTCTCGACAAGGGGTAGTTAGTGGGCCGTGGTGTTGAGGATGGCAGATTGTTTTGCCATGTTTTGAGATGAAAGAAGTTCAAAAAACAAGGCGCTGGAGATCACTGGTTGGAGCAAGTCATGCTCTAATAATCTATAGAGACTTTGAAATTGTTTGAAATTTTTTTTCAATTTTATTTCAAGTCGTTCGTTCTTCTATATATATAATTACAACCAATCAAATTATAGTGTTTTCATAGTAATTTTCATGAATGTAACTGTTTTCTTGCAAGTGGCAATAATCAAGTAAAATAGTCTGAAAAGGGTTATGTTTATCTTGACATTTTGTTTCTATTTAGCTTCTGTAGGCTAACTGTCTTGAATAATCTGCCTGAAAGAAATAGGACGACAGACAAGGTTGATGCTCGCTCTACCTGTTTGTCTTGTTTGTGACCTTACACGATAACTGTAACTGCTTCACATGCTTGAATCAAGTGCTCCAAAATCAGCCTCTTTCATGACTAGACATGAGGTGCAGCTAGAAAAACGCCATTATGGATTGCTGTAAATTATTTAATGGATCTCTCACTTTTCATTTTCATTCTTCAAGTTGAAATGTTGTTGTTCTTTGTACATTGCATCTTCCCTCCCTCTGGCCTTTTCTATTTTCCTCTTTCAGACTTAGAAATGTCATACTTGATTCTTCATTCTGTTGTTACTTGAAAATATGGTTGAATTCCAGTGTTCATGTTGAAGCAAAAATGCAGTTTTGATCACTGCAAGTCTAGAAATATATTTGGCTAAGTTGTTATACTTTTTGAAATCTCTTTGCTAATATTCGTGTTGGACCCATCATTTAATTGTGTAATTTTCATGTAATGTGCGATATGGAGCTGAATTGACTCGTGTCAACTCCAATGTTGCACTTGGATAGGAGAATTGCTCAGTGATGGGATAAAATTGCCAATTCAAGCCACGGCCAGACACCGCCCCCCCCCCCCCCCCCCCCCCCCCCCCCCTTCCAAAAAAAAATCTTTACCATCCGAGATTAATATTTCCTTTCAAAAACTGCAGATTAGTTTACCCTCCACTTCTTGCAATACAATCACTTGTTATGTTGCTAGACTGACTTGTTCACGTTTCATAAAAATAATGCTATCCATAGTTATTGATTGCAGTAATCATCTAACTTGGCATGATTTTAGTAAGTATAAAGCTTCTCAAACAGGGTCAGTGACGTACAAAATTGACACGGTTTTAAACACACTTGCGTGGCAAAGGAAACTGGGTACGTTTTGGAGGGAACAATAAACCCAAACAAAAAAAGAACAGCACGTGAGTTGGCCTTGAGGTAGAAAGATAATTGGGGTTTGCCTTAATTGGAGAATAAAGCGTACTGTGGAAACAAAAGGAAAGTGAAGCTCTGACCATTCGACGGAACTGATCCTGGCGAAAATTTTCCCAGGCAGGTGGCACTCCTGCCAGATGGTTGCTGGGAGCATTATTTCGTCAGTTGCCATCTCTGTCGACATTTCTCGTTTTCGAAGAGCCATGAAATTTGCATATAACCAAGTCACCAAATCAATATCTATGAAGTTCTCTGAAAAAGTTATAATGTTTGAGTTCATCATGTGTGAAAATTGTTTGCACGTCCATGTTCGTCATTGTGAACGCTGCATTATTCAGGTTTTTTAGGGTTCAACTTAGTTGATAAATTGAGGATGGTGATAAAATGCTCCAATGGCACTGGCATTGCAAGTTGAATTCCATTGTTTTTATTTTTTATTTTTTTATTTATTTTTTCCCTACATACAAGTTTATATGCAGAGGATTCTACCCGAACCGCACTTGGCTGCCTGAGAAGATGTATCAATGTTTGTATTATGCTAAAGCGAATATACACCTTCCAGAAAAAAAAAAATCATAATAATATCTTTATCGCCCTTCACAGCTTTTTTTAACCTGTCAAAAATATCAGGAAAGATTAGACTAATGAAATTATTTTTGGAATAATTATGCAGATTAAGATTTCGAAGACTAAATTGATAATTAATTAGGTAATGAAAAATTTACAGAGGATCAATTTTTGGTGATGGCATTGACGACTGAGAGAGACTTTTGGTGACGATTTCGCTATTGACCATAGATGGTAGGCCTGGGCGCGGGTTAGTTCGGTTTTAAAGAGAATCGAACCGAATCAAAAATTTCGAGTATTTAGTAAATAGAACCGTCGGGTCCAAATATAATTATAGAACCGTTCGGGTTTGGTTCCGTTCGATTTTGTACTATAATTAAATTTTTTAACATTTATAACAACATTACATAAATACAACTAATAACACATTCAATCGTAATTTTATAAATTAACGTAATCCAATTTAACATGTATATAACAAGTTGTCCAATAAAATTAATTTACCAATCACATATAGGGAAATTTACACACTACCTTATTCAAATGATCAACGGTTGTAGGTCACCATCGGAGCCCGGAGGTCATAGCTTCGGACTCGGAGTTGGAGGTTCTATACATCTATTGAGTTTTGAAATGTCAAATGTGTTATGTGTAGGTGATAATGTGTGTAATTTATTTAGGGTTAGTCATTAGTGGGTTGGATCACTTGGATGTTGGGTTAAAAAATGGAAGAATAAAAACTAAAAATGGCACTTGGGCTAAAAATAAAAAAATTAGAAATTAAAAAAAATTAGAAATGAAACAAATAATTGGATTTAGAAAGTGGTTGGGTTAGGTCAAGCTAGCTAGATTAGGGCTTAAGAGATAAAGTATCAATTAATCACCTAATTTGTTAATTTGTTTAAAAAAAAATATATAATTTGATTTATTCAATATAAAAAAAAATAAAAATTAGGAATATTCGGTTCTTCGATTCTTAGACTAGAACCGAGAATCAAATCGTACCCATCGATTTTTAATTTAGATACCCGTATGGGTATTTAACTTGAGAAGAACCATCGGGTTTGGTTCGGTTAAGTTCGGGAGATTTGCTCAACTCTAATAGATGGTAAGCGTCAGCCGACTAAATCTTGGACGGAATTGCTGCAGAAGCGACGGCAAACCTTGGATCGAAGTGCAGCTGTAGATGGTGAGGCGTGGGAGTGCTTTCGTTGATGGGAAATTTTACAACAATTCCCTTTATTTCTATTTATTCGCAAGATTTTTTGTTGTTCAGAAGAATATTAGCAAGCAAGAAAAATAAAGGGTATAACGCACAAATTAAATGGACAGTCAAAACTTTTCACTATGAAAAAATGTTACAAGAATTTTACTTACCAATCCAATCCTCAAGTATTGCTAAGAAAAAATTAAACTCAAACTTTACTACACATATTTTCTACCCAATGTACAAAAAGTATCAAGATACTTGGCTTATAATATTTTTGTCTCAAATGAACTCTCTGACAACACCTAAAATGATGAAATACATCTACTATTTATAGGATCAATAATCTAGTAGAAGAGTTTATTTTAAACTCAAACAAGACTCTTTTAATTCGAAAAGGATTCTTCCATGTGCAAAACTCCAAATCGGTTGTAAATTCGAGACCAAATTTTGTAAGAATTCTGCTTTCAACTTTAATTTTTAGAAGCCTTCTACACAATAACTGCCTTTTATTATTTGCAATAAAAGTCCTTCAACTTTTGACTTTTGAGCCAATTAGTCAACATTCGCTTCTCTGGGTTTCGATTTGGAAGAAGAAAATAATGGGTGGGTGTAGTCATGCGTAGGTGTTTTTCTTTTTCTTTTTTTTTTTTTTTTGGTTTAGTTTTTTTCTTTTTAAATTATTGCCATGTAAGCCTGGAGACAGGCCCTGTTTCCTGCCCCTGTTCGTGTAGCGCGATCTTGGATCATTTGTAAACAAACCCACTGTGATACTTGACTACTTGAAAATGAAAGATTGAGGCGTAAAATTCAGATTTTGCATTCAAGAACTTTGATATAATTACAACTCATCTTCAATTTGTATACAAGTAAACTGTGATATTTGACTACTCTTGAGTACAACTTTTATTTTCTTTAGAAGCCACAAAGAAATGCAATAATGACAATCAATTAGAACCTGGCTATAGGTACAAAACTTGGTTCATAGAATTTATACCGGGGAGGTTATGTGACAATTTTTGGTTGAAAGATGACCAAAAAAATTTGTCTTCCCCAATTCCTGAGAAGATTTTTTGACATCAAGAATGTCATCCACCAGCTGAAATAAGAGCACAATACACCTAGAAAACTTTCTCAATTTAGTAATTTCTTCATCATTTGCAGCACCTGAATCAGCACCAAGAACACTGATGCCTCTAATAAAATTGCAGTTTTGTGTATATGAATGTATTCCAAATGCTCTAATCCCACATCAGATAATCCCTCCAAGAATATATCAACTATCTGTCCAGCCACTAATCCTTCTGATCCAACAGACTTTGTGAATTCACCAACCGTTCTCACCATCCTATCTGAAGACAGCCCTCTTGTTGCAGTTGCCATGTGCTCAAAGGCAAATGAAAGAAGTGCATCACCAGCCAAACAGCCACATTTTCACCAAACACTTTGTGATTTGTGGGCTTCTCTCTCCTCAAATCATCATTATCCATACACGGAAGATCATCGTGAATCAAAGACATTGTGTGTATCGTTTCAACAGCACGGGCTGCAGGCATAGCAGTGGATTCATCCCCACCAACAAGCACACACGCAGCAATACACAGCATAGACCGAACCCTATTGCCTCTAGCAAGAAGAGAATATCTCATGGATTCATGAATTATCAAGGCTCCTTCAACAAGACTGCGTTTTCCAAAGCCATGTTTATAGATCTTGCTTTGTCAAACATGTAGGCATTGAAATCGAAAGTGGTGATTGGATTCACAAGACTACATATACCAATTAAAAAAGAAAAAAACTAAATAAAAAAAAAAAATGCACGTGACAACACCCACCCATTAGATTCTTCTCCCAAATTGAAACCTAGAGAAACGAAAACCCTCCCACACCTCACCATCTACAGCCGCACTTTGATCGAAGGTTCGCCATCTCTCCGGCAGCAATTCCGTCCAAGATTTAATCTGCTGACACTTACCATCTATGATCGGTTATAGGTCCCAGTCAAATGCAAATAAAATGATGAAAAAATAATTCTCTTCGGGTGAGAATTGTACCACAATTAGAACTTTTTTGATAAATATTTCTTAGCCTTTTATTGAAATTGAAACTATGGTTTACATAGGGAAAACCATGTTCAGATTACATGCAAGAATAAAGGGAAAGCTTCTAAGAAATAGCTAACAGAAGGATAATGCAAAACAAACTGCTAGAATGTGCAAAACAAGAAAATAAAGATGCTGGATTTTCTCAGCAGCTCAGTCTTATTCTCCAACCCCACGTGCTCTCATCCTTCACCAATCAATACCTTCCCCTCAAGTGGACACTTGTTGCCAAGGTCCACACCTAGATACAAAGCGAAAAATTAAAATTATTTCGATTTCTACCGAGGATCCCCTTGTGTTTAGATAGAAATCGTGATAAATATTGTACATTTGAAGAATTTTACAAACCTTTTGCTTTTTTTTCGTTCCAACAATCTTGATTCGCCACCCACATCTGTCCAATTATCCA